AATTTAGCAGGTAAAAATCAATGTCTTTGGAAAATGAGAAACAGCTATTCCAAAGGAAAAGTCTGTCTCAGGGTAACAAATGCTTTGAAAAGCATCAACTATGTCAGAAAATCCCCACTATCATAGTAACGTTAAAATAATTTTGCTTACAGCTTTAGGATCTTTGACAGTTAAAGAAATAATTCATTGGGGTTGGGGATATAGCTCAGTGGCACAAGCGCCAACCTGGCAAGCACACGGGCCTGAGTTTGACTCAAAAAAAACAAAAACAAAATCAACAACAACAAAAAAAAAACAATTCATTTCCTTATTACATCCACAATAGTCACCAAAAGGTAAAAAGAAAGAGTGTTCCTTCTTAAAGAACACATTAAACTAAAACAGAATCACAATGTACATGTTCATCAAGTTAACGCACTCCAGGGAGGGACATCTTCCATCTTCCTTCTGACCCACTCCCAACCTTAACTCCACAGAACACAAGAAGGAAGCAAACAAGCCGAGCATGTTTTCGCCTCAGCTTTCTCACTGAGTGGGCGCCTCTGACTGGCTGTGTTCAGGCAACAGCTCCTCTAAAGGCAGCCTTTCTCTCCCTTCGGGTTTCCAGAAACCTGCAGGTCCCTCTTCCCTGATGCTTAGAGATGGCAACAGTCACGGGGTTGTAAGCTCCCAAGGCACTGCACAACCTACACCATGACAGCGCTTGCATTCATCTCTCTTTGAAGTATTTCAATGCTGTATCTGCTTACTGATGGGAACCCACTGAGCCAATTTCAAAACATTTTCCTCAGCCTGGCATAGAGGAGGCCTGTAATCCCAACACACTAAGGGGCCGAAGCAGGAGGAATACAACTTTGAGCCCAACCTGGACAGTTTAGTGACTTAGTGAAATCCTATCTCACAATGAAAAAATTAAAAATTAAAAAAGGAGGGAGGACATAACTTAGTGCAATCTTCAGTATAAAAAAAAGGAGGGGGGGGGGTCTGGGGATTTAACTCAGCAGTGTAAGGGCCTGCCTGGCAAGCTCGAGGTCACAAGTTCGATCTCTGGCACCAAAAAAAAAAAGACTAGATCCAGGAAAAAAAAAGAAAAAAAAACCAAGCAGATAACTGCACAGGTCTAATTAAAGAAAAAGCAAATATGCATTTTATTCTAAAGTAAACATTTTACTTAAAGAGACAAGTTTTTTATAATGTTTTTAAAACTTAGCTTTAAGATGTACTCCAGTCAATCAGGTGACACATACCAATAATCCCAGCACTCAGGAGGCTGAGACAGGAAGACTGCCATGAGTTCAAGGCCAACCTTGGCTAGTCAGTTCAAGGTCAGCCTGAACTAGGTAGCAAAACCCTGGCCCAAAAATAACCAAAACAAACAAACAACAAAAAGGTATTCTTCACTGTGGAGGTTCTACTAGATCTTGATTTGAAAGAACAAATATATAAAATCCCTTTTTATATAACTGGAGAAACATAAAAATGGACTAGGTATATTAGGGTACCTAAGGGATTATTTATTTTGCAGAATCTGTAATAGCAATATGGTTTTTGTTTAAGTCCTTATCTTTTAGAGATATATAATAAATGCTTTTACAAGTGAAACTATGTATGCTTATTCCAGAAAAAAAAGTACATGAGCTTCAGAGACATAAGAAGTGAAACAGCAGATTGTGGTGAGTATGCAAGGACTCATACTTTTGTATATATCTGAGATTTTCCATTATAAAAATTTCCCCAAAAATGTAGTATATAATTATAGTATATATCCCTATGTCAAAAAAAAAAAAAAACCTGCAAACAATTTCAAATTCAAAAATTGAGGACTTACTGCAAAAGAAAAAAGAAAAGGAGCTCATGATCCAGAAGGAGAAGGCTCTGCATGTGACAGCAGGGCTGGTGCAGACTTCTCGCTGGGGAGTCTTCTTTGATAGCACCCCAGCTTCTACCAGCTGCTTGTACAATGCCCTTCCCACCTCACTACTCAACAGTACGTGATTACTTCTTCCTTTTGGTTCTCTGTCATCCACCTATCCTGTGTCCCTGCTATGCTCCTGGCCTACACTCACGGGTACTACACTTCCTGCATGGTTTGAAACGTAGTTTGGAAGTCTGCGAGTGTTACTCAAAAAGAAAAAGCAACTGGAGTCGTTAAATAAACTATGGCTTATATACACAGTGATGATGGTACGAAGTGGCATGAATAGTCTTCAGTGCCGTATCCCTTCATCTTCAATAGCCAAAAAAGCATAAATGTAAGTCAAAATTGTGTGTTATTCAAAACAGCTACAAGTCAAATTATATATCCCTCTTCCAACAAAACTGTCATCATAAACTATTAATTCTCAATCAACTTTTCTGCATATAGGGTAGCAGTGTACTAAGACCATCAATTATATTAAAAACAGATATTAAGTGAAAAGGACAGGATATAAAGCACTGTGTGTTTTAGTATTAAGTACAAGTCAAATGCCAGAAATTTAGCTCAGTGGTGTATGTGCCTGCCTGGCAAGTGTAAGGTTGTGAGTTCAGTCCCTATACAAAAAAAAAAAAAAAAAAAAAGAACAGGTCAAATGTGTCTTATAAAATCCCCAAAAAGGTACAGAATATTAAGAAGCACTGTTGCCATGTTATAACTTTCAAAAACAAAGTTTCTTATTTTCTTTAATAAACATATTACTAATACATTATTTTACATTAAAAATAAATGCTTTTTTTTTTTGTCTTTTTGAGACAGGGTCTCACTATGCAGGCTGGCCTTGAGCTCACTTTGTAGCCCAGGCTGGTCTCGAACTTGCAACGATTCTCCTGCCTCAGCCTCCTGAGTGCTGGGATTACAGGCGTGAGCCACCACATCTGGCTAATAAATGCTTTTTAAAGCGCCTAACTGTCAAGCATGAGGTCCTGAGTTCATTCCCTGGTACCAAATAAATACTTTTTAGCTGTGTGTGGTGGCGAAGGCCTGTATTGCCAGCAGTTGGCAGGCTGAAGCAAGAGGATCACTGCGACTTCTAGGCCAGCCTGGGTACAAAGCAAGTTTAAAACCAGCCTGAACCACAGGCTCCTATCTCAAAAAAAGAAATTAGGGCCGGGGATTTAGCTCAGCAGAGTAAGCATCTGCCTGGCAATAGCGACATCGTGAATTCTATCCCTGGTAACAAAAAAATAAAAAATTAAATAAAAAATTAAAAAATGCTTTTCAAATCAGGCATGGTGGCTCATGCCTATAATCCTAGCACTCAAGAGGCTAAGGCAGAAAGATCCTTGCGAGTTCAAGAGCAGCCTGGGCTACAAAGTGAGCTCAAGGCTAGCCTGAAGTGTGTAATGAGAACCTGTCTCAAAAAGACAAAAAAAGCTTTTCAGAACTGCATACTGCAGCAGAGAAGTCAAATGGACAATTAGGGCTAGTTTTCCAAAGCTTAATTAAGTTTCATCATTAAAACATCTATAATTAAGGTAAACTCTAAAGACTGTTCCAGTGCCAGATTATTAATGCCAAACATCCTGAAAATACCAGTGGTAAATTTGTTGATTTTATTAACCTGAGGTTGAACTGCTCAGGAGGGTACTTGGCTGATCTGTACAAATATGGATACCAAAATTAAATATTCACAGTTAAGTGGTCTACATCACTTGCTGGTGTGCAAACCAACCAAAACCAAATTCTCCTTTCCTTTTTTTTTTTTTTTAACACTTTTTTTTTCTTCTTTTTACCGGTACCGGGGATCGAACTCACGACCGCCTGCTTGCAAGGCAGGTGCTTATGCCGCTGAGCTAAATCCCCAGCCCCCTAAATTGTCCTTTCCTAATCTTTCACTATTTCACTTTCCAAGCAGTGGTGGAAAAATTTAAAACTTCACACTTGTGCCTAGACATATGAAAAGCAAGCTGCTGCCTGGAGGGCTGACATCCCTTCTTTTAAAATAGACAGAAATCCCATTTCTAGTAATAGCTAGAAACAAAAAACGTAACCAATGTAGACTACAGGTTCACATAAGTGACATGTGTGATTATGCAAATCCCTAGATGAATTCAAGTGTAAAAAGAACAATAATCCCAACCCCAGGACAAAAAAAAAAAAAACCAAGTGCTTTGATTAGGGACTTTAGGCAAGTTAATTTTAGAAACAGTAATACTAGCCTCCCGGTCTCTGTCATCACTGAAAGTCCTTTGGGCTTTGAGAATTCCCACATGTTTAGCATCTTTCCACACAACACGAAGTTACCAAAGGACTCAACTGAAGGCAAAAAAGACGTCAGGATTCTAAAGAAACCACACGGGTTGCAAAGGAAAAAAATGCAGCAAGAGACAAAAGTCAACTTGTCCCAAGGGCCCAAGAGTGGTCGGCGCCATAGAAGGGCCAATATAGTGTTGAAATAATTGAACCCAGGACTTGGGCCTTGGGGCAAGCGTCTGTCATCCTCATTTCTAAGACTTCGGCGGCGAAGGAGAAAGGTCCAACAGCTCCCAAGTTCTTCCAGTGCAGACCTTTAGCAGCACCTGCGCCAGCGACGCTGACCCTTGTGACACTCAGCCCTCTTACTGCAACTCGCTCCGACCTCCATCCCAACCGCTTTCCTGCTGCCCTGAGGATGCTCACTTAAGAAAGCCGACGTGCTCTTCTCCGTCTACAAGCACTCGGGCCGCGGAGATCCAGTCCTGAGGCTTCACCCCTGGAACAACCGCACGCCCCTCAATCTTGAAACGATCTCCCAGGCCGACCCCACTCCCTCCCGATCCCTCAGCAGCAGCCCCGGGCACCTCCGAGCTCTGGGCATCCCCTGATAGCAGCAGCAGCAGGACGGCAAAGAAGCCCCACAGAGCGCCCGCCATGACAGCAGCTCACACCAGTCAGTACCGTAGCCCCGGAAGCCCTCCCTCTCCCAGCTGCCGCTGCCGCCGGCGGCTGCCAATGTCGTCATCAGTGCGCCCAATCCAGGGAGCGAGCTGTGGAGTCCAATCAACCCAGACCAATCGATCAACGAGGCGGAAGTGAGGCGGAAGTACCGCCCCAAACTTCCCGGAGTTCTGGATTGGAAAGAGGAGAGGAGAGTGAGTGAAAGCGGTGTTGTTCTGGTGGTAGCGGCAGAGGTCGGAGACCTTGTGCAGGAGTAAAGGGCGGTAAGGCCGCGAGGGGTGAGGGTCAGAAGTAGTGTCTGCAAAAGGAGACTCGGCTTCATGAGAAAACAGGTCCAGAAAAGACTTTAAAGACTTCCCTAGCCCGGTGTCGTGGGGGAACTGCTGTGACCCCAGCGCTTCTGGGAAGCTGAGGCAGAAAGATAAGAGATTTCGATTCCAGCCTCGGCAACTTAGTAACTTAGGGAGACCCTGTTTCAAAATGCATAACAGAGAGGAGGCTGGGGATGTAGTGCATAGTGAATACCCTGGAAGGGAGGAGCGGACTTCGAGTGACTCCCCAAGAGTTGACAAGGCTTTCGTTTATGAGATGCGGTCTCTGCATAGAAAGTAGCTGGAAAAATACATACTGCCTACCAGGGGTGCCTTTGGTGATAGACAACTGACTACGTTATCAATCTGCACAAACTCATCAACTGCAGAAGTAAAAAGTCGGGCCTTCGGAATTGCAATTAGGGAGACAGGGTCCGTTAGCTCTAAATTGGTGTTTCAGAAAATGCACTGGGAGTTTAAATGGAAAAGCAGTAAAATGCCTTTGTAAAAAACTATTAAATTTGAAAAAGAATAGGTGCTGTATGATGTGTAGGTGTGTAACCAATGGAAGGTAAAGAAAAGGATGCATGTACATAGTAAAAAACGTACATAAAACTAGAATCTTGCAACTTTTTTTTTTTTTTTGTCTTTTTCGTTTTTATGGGTACTGGGGTTCGAACTCACGACTGCCTGCTTGCAAGGCAGACACTTCTGCCGCTGAGCTAAATCCCCAGCCCCTAAATCTTGTAACTTCTTGAAAGTATCATGAGTCTCAGGTATAAGATCATTTATCTTCGTGCAAGAGCCTGCAGTGAAGGGGTGAAGGTACCCGTGACTTCATCACTTTTTCATCACTGAGACAGAATACACAACTCAGGCAACTTAAAGGAAGAGGTTTATTTTGGCTCATGTTTTCAGTCCATAGTTGACCACCCCCAAAAGTATTTATTATTTAAGTCTTGCTATCTAATGACTTACCAACTCCATTTTAAAGCTTAATGTTGTTTTCATCATGATTCTTCCTTTTATTTTGCAGCCTTTATCCTGCTATGAGTGCTTTTTAATAAGCATAACAACCAGTGTTGATCGCTGAAGCTATACCTAACACTTCAGAGAGCAGATCAGCTGCTCCAGTCCTTTCAGTTTCTTGATTGGAAGGGAAATGACTTGCTCAAAGTTTTTGTTAGCCCGAAATATTGCTCTTTCTCCCTCCCATACCCATCAAAGATTATTGAGGGCAATGCATGCTTTTGCCCTATGCACTCTTAGAGCTTCTGGAGGTACAGTACAAGACCCACGTACAGGGCAAGAACACAGATACTGGGGCCACCTCTACACTTGTGGCATCAGCAATTGCTATGCTAGGGCACTTTCTCTTGTTTTTTTGAAAATGATTGCTTCTTCACAGTTGAGTTTTGGAAGGAACAGGGCTGCTTAGAAGAACAAAAGTGACTTTTTGTTTGCCAGATAAATCCTTTATTTGCAAGGAAACGATAATCTAGGATTGGGAAGTCTTTGGAAAAAGGTTTATTTTCATCTTGCTTGTTTTAAAATCTGTGTAGCTTTTAAGCAGGTAATACACTCAAGGGTTAGAAAGTAAAAATCGGGACTGAGAAACTAAATATCAACCCCTATTATTAGTGGTATGCGGTGTACCTAATAGAAGGCCAGTGGAAAGACCATTAGAAACAATATTTTTCCAAAGGCAACACCACACCTGTGTGGGTATTGTTATAGATTACTTTTTATTTTTGACTCTTGAATTCTTTATTTTTTGTTATAGTTTAGATATGGGATGTCTTCAAGAGCCTCCTGCATTCCCAGGCAGTGGTTGTGGAAGGTGGGCCTGGCTGGAAGAGGTGGGCTGCTGGGGATATGACCTGGTAGATTATATTTCCTGCCAGAATTCCTCTCCTTATTCTCAGACTAAAACCTTTTTCTTTTTAGTCATTAATGCTTTCTTACTAATGACTTCCCCAGCCCTGCTTTTTCCTCATAACCCTTTACAGATTGCTAAAATACCCAGACTTTCTCCTTGAAATAAAATGGATTTGGAAAAATAAAAAATAAAATAGCCAATCCAGAGATATGACCTGTGTGACACAGGTGTGCTCCTGGTACTCTTTTTCCTGAAGGACTTTGACACATGATACAATATTCAAAAGGTACAAGTTTGGTGAAAAGACTTCTGCACAATCACCCAGTCCTCAGGAGGCAATTAGTGTTAACATTTTCCTGAATGTTCGCCCAGACAGTTAATAATCTATAAGAAAATTCATACATTAAAATATATTACCAATTGCACAAAGAGGCAAAAATACATATGTATGTGGCATAATATTAATATGTAAATTAACATTCTATAATTTGAATTGAAACATTGTTTAAAATATATGCATGTTAACATGTTATAGAGTAATGCACAATATCATTAGTTACAGTTTGTATCTAGATGTCCTCCCAAAGCCTAGTGTGCTCATAGGGTTTTTTCAGAGGTGGACAAATCCAGAGTGTGTGATGTGGGGATTAAGAGTACATGATTAGTAAATCAGTCCATTGATTGGTTTGCCATAATTCTGGCTAGGACTAGGGCAGGTAGCCTGTGTAAAGTGTAAGGGACAGAAAGAATCTTGTCTCCCCCTTGCTTGCTTGCTTTTGCTGTCTTATGGGTGCCATGAACTCTTCTCTGTGATGGCCCTTTGCAAGCCACCCTGCCTTGGAGCCAGCCAATTATGGACTGAAACCTCCACAAACTGAGCCAAATAAGCCTCCCCGCACTGCCCCGTTTAACTTTGGGTGCTAGGTGCTAGGTGTTTTGTTTAAGCAATGAGAAAAGTAAGACAGGATTATATACAGGTACATATATGTCTAAGCAATGAGACAGGTACATATATACAGGTACATATTTTGTCTAAGCAATGAGAAAAGTAAGACAGGATTATATACAAGTACATATGTATTATGTTGTACACACATATATATGTATTTCCCTATCTTTTATATGCATATAACAAATGGAACTCTTGCTCTGTCCTTTTTACTTAATAGAACTTGGGAACCATCTTCAATCAGTACATAAAGAGCTTCTTCATATTTCTTCAGAGTGTCACAGTATGTAGATGTACTGATTCTTGATTAGGTACATAAAGATTGCTTCCTGAAAGCAGTTTTTTCCATGTGATTTCCATAGCTATGTATACAGTATTACCCTCTTCCTCATGAGAATGTTTTCCAAGTGAATGCCTGTAGCCACAGATACCACTGAACCCAAATATGTTTACATATATATACCTATAAAAAAGTATATACATTTTTTTGTCTTTCTTTTTTATCGATACCAAGGATCAAACTCATGACCACACACTTGCAAGGCAGGCGCTTATGCTGCTGAGCTAAATGCCCTGCCCCGCAAAAAGTATATAAATTAACCACAGCAAGAGATTAATAACATGTGAACTAGCTGGGTGTGGTGGCTCACGCCTGTAATCCCAGCACTCAGGAGGCTGAGGTGGGAGGATCCTTATGAGTTCAAGACCAGCCTGGGCTACAAAGTGAGCTCAAGGCCAGCCTGAACTGCATAGCGAGACCTCGTCTCAAAATAGACAAGAAAATAATAATAACTTGTGAACTAAAACCTTTCCTCAAAAAAATTAACAATGACCATATAAACTAGAACAATATTCATAACTATATTATAATAGTTATTTGAATGTATCTTCTCTTTTCTTCCCTCTTAATATTATGTTGTACTAATGATGACCCTTAAAGAAAGCACTTTATAGGTTTTCTTGTGTATCTGAATTGCCAGCATCATTATTTTTGTTCTTTGAAGCCATGAGTAAATACAATAAGGGTTCTTTGAACATCAGCATGGCAATACTGCAAAAATAGGTCTGAGAACCAAGAGGGCCATTAGATGACTAATGCACAGGTATTTTATACAGGGTTGATATCCTGGACAAAGAGATGGCTCATGTCCCCAAAGGATGGAGCAGGACAACACAAGATTTCATCATGGTACAGAAAGTAGCACACAGTTCTCAATTATGAGTTATTTCTGCAATTTTCTAGGTAACAATTTTTGGGCCACAGTTGACCACAGATAATCAAAATCCTGAAAAGTGAACCTACAGATAAGGGAGGACTACTGTATGTGGTATAATTAAAACTACTAAAATAATAATTAGAGTTGCTGGATCTGAGTATGTGCCTGTGTGACTGACAGCTGTTGCAGAGTCTGCTTCTATAGAAGTTGCTTCAACTTTTGATCTCACCATCGATGTCTTTACCATCCATATCCTTACCAACAACAGTGGCCGTCACATGTTACCTTTGTCAAGTGTGTAGGATACAAATAGTGTCTCAGTTTTGATGTTTGTTTTTCTTATTATAAGTGAGGTAGAATAATGTGTCACCAAGAGATGGAGGGAGAGGGAGGGGGAAGTAAAAAGAATTAAGATGTGTTATATACATGCATTAAATCTATACAAGGAATGCAAATGTGCTAGTAATAATAAATTTAAAAAACGTTTTTAAGAGTCATTTAGTTTCCTTTTTGGTACTTGTGTAATTTGCATTTTTGGCTGTTTTCTATTGAATTGATGCTCTTACTGATCTGGAGGAACTCTACCATTAGGGAAATTATATCTTTCTGATATAAATATGTTTTCTGTACTTCTTTGCATTTTCATTTCTGCTGTCCAATTTTCATAATCCCTTTTCATATTTTTTCTAACAGTTATAAAATCATTAATAGAAAACATAATAATGGTCAAGTATGGTGGCTTACACCTGTAATTCCAGCATTCAGGATGCTGAGGCAGGAAGATTGCCATAAATTCAAGGCCAGGCTGAACTCTGTCCAAAAACAAAAAACAAATAAACATAAGCTGGGAAAAATAGTCTGTCTTTATGGTAATAACCCAAAATAAAAAGTAGGTGATTATCTGATTCCTGTGGTACATACCTATAATTCCAGCTACTGGGGAGGCCAAGACAAGGATGGCAAGTTTGAGGCCACCTTGAGCAACTTAGCAAGACTTTGTCTCAAATTTAAAAAAAAAAAAGATGAGGGAAATATATCTCCATGGTAGAGTGCCTCTTGTCTTGGTTATTCTTGTTGCTGAGACAAAATACCTGATGCCCAAAATGAAGGAAGCAAAGGCTTGTTTAACTTAGTGTTTGTGGAGGTGTCAATCCATACTCACCTGGCTCGAAGGCAGGATGGCGTGCAGGAAGGCAACCATTCATGGTGGCTGCAGTAGATACCAAAAACACAAAAAGAGTAAAGAGATAAAAGGACAAAGGAGGGGAGCCAGCCATTGTCCTTCCCTTAGGTTGTATGCAAGGTACCCACCCCACATCAGGTTCAGCCACATGAGGCTTGGGACATCCAGACACAAATTCCACCCCTGGCTGCCCAAAGATTCATGCACATACTGTTACATAAAAGGCATTTAGTCCATGAGTGAAAGTTGCCAAAGTCCCAACAGTTTTTGCATTGCTGAAAAGTCCAAGTCCCAAGTTTCCTCTGAAATGAAAGACAAACTTTTAGCTGCAAGCCCCTGTACAAATGAAAAGTTAAACACTTACAATATTCAGTGGCATGAAATAAACATTTATTCTAAAAGTTACAAACAGGAGGATACAAAGGATTGGGACCAAACCATCAGGGCAAATAGTAAATCCTGTAGTTCCATGTGTATCATGGGGGCAATTTGTGGCAAGTTTTGAGCTTCAAGCCCTTTGGGTCTTTACAGAAATTGGTTAAATTTAAATGTGATCATAAGGGTGAGGCACTTACTCAATAGGATTATGTCTTAGTTACTTTCTTGTTGCTGGGACAAAATACCTGACATCCACCAATTTGTTTAGTTGACAGTCTGTAGAGGTTTCTGTCTGTAGTCAGACAGCTCTAAGGCAGGGTGGCAAGGCAGAGGGGTATCACAGGAGAAACAGTTCCTGATATGACAAGCAGAAGCCATCAAAGTGGTAAGCCTGCCTTCTTTATGTCCTTCCAGGCTACAACCCTATTGATGAGTGCACCCATACCCAGATGGGTTTTGATTATCCACACCACCTTTAATCCCAGTTTCACACACCTTAATCCAGTATCACAACCCTAGGTCCAGCCAATTCCCAAAAGTCCCACACATGAGAACTCGGGCTTTGGGGTACATCTAGACACAAGTCATAACAGACTGGTTTCTGTATAAAAAGAGAATGTACATATACAGAGAAAAGGCCATCTGCAAATAAAGAAAGGCCTCAGTAGAAATCAATCCTGACATCACCTTCACTTAGGACTCACCTTCCAGAACAGAGAGAAAATGAATCTTCATTGTTTAAGCAACCAAATCTATGATGTTTTCCTATGTCAGCCCTAGCAAAGTCATGTAACATCGCTGACCTGTTCTCTGGCATCTTCATCTGTGTGTAATGGCTGACCCACTATAGAAGACCTTCCCTCTGGACTTACCCATCCTTTGCCATCCAGCAAGTTGAACCTGTTATGTTGTAGGATTAGTGGAAAGCAACTGAAAACCCACTTGTTCAGCCAGAGATACAAGCTTCAAACTGCCGATTTGAAAACACAAGACTCTGCTCAATATTTTCATTCAAGGACATGTTGAAGTGAGCCCTGAAACAGTTTCAGTCTTGTTTATCACCCAATTAGGACAACAATAAGCATTACTTATTCTAAACCATGAAATAAAAATTTACTTTTCTAAGGTGGTAAAAAAATTATACTAAAATAAAAATAACTTCATTCCAGTTTTTTTCTTTATATATATTTTTGGTGAGCTTTCTTTTCCAGTATCTCAGACCCATATTCAGTTTGACTAATGGGTTACTGTTGACCCTGATACTGCAGCCAGGAGCCAGAGGGTTGGCTTCTTTTGTAGCCAAAGGGTGAAAGAAGGCCAGCTGCAAACATGAAGTGGGTTCTCTGTGTATCCATGTCTGCCTCCCTTTCTTCTCTTATCCACTGTTAATTGTACCAAAGTATCCAAAATCTTAAATCCCTCAAATGCTATGTTTATGCCTCTTCAAGCATTAGATGGAGTAAAAAAGGACAAGAAATGTTCTGTGTTATCTCTGCTGTTTTGCAGGCAGGCCACGGGATTTGCACAGATACCCAACTCCACATTAGATAAGAGGCCTAGTCTATAATGCCCTTGGACTGGGGTCTTGTAAAAACTAATTATGCTTATCCAGCCAGATATACTTTGCATTCATCACCTTGCTTTGTACCTGGAAGACTGGCCATCTAAGGACTGCAAAAACTCAGTCCTTTCCCTTCTAGCTTCCAATTAGGCTTAACCAGTGGGCAGTATCAGCAGGACACCTTTTTCAACTGGGATCATTTACAGTAACACCTTCCAAGTGTTCTCTCAGTTTCTTACAAAGACCCTGACACACAGATTTCCAGCGACTTACTTAGCTTGATTATCGAGAACAGTGTTAAAGTGAGAAGTGGTCAGTTTATCAATCAAGGTCTTCACTTTTCTCTTTTGTCCTTGATTGTAGGCTGCATCTTAGCTTCTTTGCATCATGGCCACAAGGGGGTGAACAAGGATAAGAACACACACAAAACCCATGCCTTAAGAATCTGTGTTACTATTGGATTATACCAACAGAAGTTAACTCTGGAGTTCATAGGTAACATTTCTTCATTTTGTAAGTGTTAAGGTTCTGATTTTTTTGCAAAAGTTTTCTAATTAGAACAATATAAAACTTTTTTTGAAATAAAAGAACAAGCTAAAATGACTAAAAATGTACAACAGATTTTATTTCAAACTCTTAAAATTTCAATCAGCTGGAAAACAATAGTCCTCCTGTCTGAATCTTTAGATCACTTACAGTGACCTCTTCAGGGGTAATTCCAGTCTGGCCCTCATCTTGCTCTTCCACTTGTCAGCATCTCGTGGTGTCACCACGCTAATCACCCCATTCTAACACACTGGCTATCTATTAAACAGAAGGGATGGCAGGTTATAAAGTATGACAACCAAGAAATGAGAATCACAGCTCTAGGGGCTGGGGGTTTAGCTCAGCGGCATAAGCGCCTGCCTTGAAGCAGGTGGTTGTGAGTTTGATCCCTGGTACTGATAAAAACTGAAAAAGACAAAAAAAAAAAAAAAAAAAAAAAAAGAATCACAGCTCTAGCTACTTCTCTTTTATATGTAAGTTTATTTTTAAAAGAGAGTAACACTAATAAAATGTTTGGGAAACTTTAGCTGTTAATCCCCAAATATCCTGCCATTTCTTTTCTTTTCTTTGTCTTTTTCCTTTTCATCGGTACCAGAGATCGAACTCACGACTGCCTGCTTCCAAGGCAGGCGCTTATGCCGCTGAGCTAAATCCCCAGCCACCCTGCCATTCTTTTAAGTGATTTTTTTTAACCCATTTGGGTTTTCAAATCTGATTCACTTCATGTAGACTGGGTGATTTTTTTCATTCCAGTAAACTGTAGTCAAATTATCTTAATATTTTAACATATTGATCATCCACAAGTCCTTGGGTATGAATTTCTGAAGTTTCCTATAGAAGTCCTCTGTAATACAATGTGTCACCCCCTGTCTTAGTTACTTTATGATCGTCGCTGAGACAAAATACCTGATGCTCAAGTTGGGAAAGGAAAGGTTTATTTCTTACAGTTTTTGGAGGTTTCAGTCCACACTCAGTTGGCTCCAAGGCAGGCGGGCATGGCTGGACCGCAGTTCATGGCAGCCATCCACCGCAAGCTTGAACCAGCAAAGAGACACACCTTCTTCCTGCCATTACATCACATCCTGGCTCCACCCCTATGTGGGTGGAGCACTGACACCATCAATCCAAGCACTATATAATGAACCATCACAAATGAACGATGCAAACTCATGAGGCCTGGGGGACACAACATAAACCATGACACCCCCCCTTCCTCAGAGAGAAGACAAAAAACATCCTAACTTGCCTCAATGTCTGCAAAAAAAAAACAATTACAATACAAATATTTTACTTTTCTTCATGTGACTCTAAGTTCTCATCTCTTTCACCAAACTGTGAAAAATAAAAGTAAAATAAATTGGGGAAGTGTGAAATTACTCTAACTTTAAAACATGAAGAGGAAATAATTGTCTCTGATACGAAAAATAATACAAAATACTAAATTCCTTGGAATATTCCAGCTAAAGTGCTTTGTCCAGCTAATAATTTAAATATTATTAGTTACTGTATGTGAAGAACAGTGACTGATAAGCCACAGTTATGTTATGCTGCTGTCTTTTGTGCTTTGAGGCTCGTACTGCTTGCACGGATCCGGAGTCCTGCAGTTCAGGACCTCAGTGAGTGGAGTACCTCTGAGCCCAGTCATAGAACCTGAGACCGACAGTGCGGTAGCTGAGCCCCAGCTTTACACAGACATCCCCAGCGTGCTGCACAGTCCCTGTGTCATCCGCTTTACCTGCCAGGCCTTATAACTCAGTGGCCCTCTGCCCACACAGGTGCATATATGCAGAAGCTGCATCTCCTTCTTCCCTTGATTTGAGTTTTACTCA